TTTTTTTTTTTTTGTACCAGGGATTGAACTCGGGTCCTTGAGCTTGCGAGGCAGGCAGCAGAACCACTGAGCTAAATCCCCGGCCACCCGGGCTGCCTTGCAAGTGGGAGGTCCTGAGTTCAATCTCTGGTACCAAGAAAAAAAAAAAAAATTAACCACAGTTTCACTAAAGGTGATGAGGCAGAGGCAAGGTTTTGATTAAAATGTGCTGTTGTACATGTCTAGTTGTCACTCCAAAGCCTCATGTGCTCAAAGATAGGGCTTTTAGAGGGTGACTGGATTATTGGGGCTTACAGCTAACTTGCTGTCAGGAAGTGAGGTCTGGTCAGAGGAGGTGGGTCACCTGGGCTTGGCCTGGAAGGATCTGTATCCCTCCCCTGCTTCTCCCTTTGCCCTCTGCCTCCCTGCTGCCAGGCCATGAGCGGCTCCCCTCAGCCATGGCATCACACCTCAGAGCCAACAGAAACCTCTCCTCCTCTGGACTGTCCCAGGGATGATAAAGTGACTAAGACAGAAGGCAGAGCAGAAGCCAGGCGTGGTGGCGCACACCTGTGATCCCAGCACTTGGGGGCTGAGGCAGGAAGATCCCAGGTTTGAGGCCAGCTTGGTCAATGTAATGAGACCTTGTTTCAAAATAAAAAATAGAAGAAAAAATAAAAGCTGGGGGTGTAGCTCCATGTGAAGACCCTGGATTCAATCCCTACTGCCGTGAAAAAGAAAAACTCTGCCTGGGCCTCATCATACTTCTGGAGGATCCGGAGCACGGTTGCCAGTGGGACACCGGGTGGTGACAGAGTCCTCGCATGACCACACTTCAGTCAGGCACCTGAACCCTCACACAGGCCCATTTGCACACATCCGTGGGAAACTCAGTTTCAGCAAAAACTGATCAATCAGATTAGCAAGGACTCCTGCCCCATTATCTGATGGCCCTCACTATCTGATGCGGTTTCTCCTCCACCCTCCCCTAAGTGACATCTCATTCCCTGGCCTGTCTTCAGCAGAATCCTGTTAGTTCAGTTTAGACCAAAGTTCTCTGAGCAATCTTCCACCCAGAGCCTTCCCATGGGCCATAAATTCCCACTGGTCCGTGCTATATTCGAAGGTGAGTGCACTCTCTCAACCCCACTGCAAAATCCATTGCCGTGGCCCCTGCCCCCATTACAATGCCCCTCCCCTTGAACAAAGTCTTCCTCGCTGTGTTTCAACAAGTGTCGTTAATTTTTCTTTTCTTAAACACTGGGATACAGCTTTAGCAGAGGGAGGGAACCCTAATCCCCAGCATGAGCAAAATGAATAGACTCCTCTTAGAGCAGAACCCCTTGAAAGGGCTTTTGAATTCCTTCTCCAACTTCTGTCTGCCCGTTCCTTCTGAGCATACACACTGCTCCACCACGCACCCTGTGCCTCCATGTGTTTTACACCAGTGGTTACTTTTCAGTCTCTTAGCTTCCATCTGTAGCATCTGATACAGCTGATCACTCCAACCCCATCCTCCTTGAAATACTTTCTCCTCCTGCCTTCAAAAACCATCACTTTCAAGGTAGGGTGCTCAACGGTACAGCAGTACATGAGCATGGGCAAGGCTGAGTCTGACAGCCGGCGCTACCAAACACCCAAACCAACAAGCAAAACCCCAATTTTCTATTTACCACTTCTGCCGCTCTTTGTCAACCACCTCAGCAGGATCTTCTTCAGTTTCCTGAGCTCTCCACACACGGAAGCACCCAGAGCTCACTCCCAGAATCCCGTCCCTTCTCTGTGTACTCATTTCACAAATTACACCGTCCAGCCTATGGCTTACAGATGTCATGTATTTAGTCTGATGACTTCTAAGGTAATCTCTAGCACAGACCTTCCCTCCAATTCCAGCTGATACGTATAACTGCTTATCAAATGAACATCTCCGCCTGAATGCCCTACCAGGGTTCTCCAACTGAGCGCACCCAAAACTGAACTCTGGATAGACTCTCCCCACACCCACTCCCGAGTCTCTCCCGTTTCGGTGAATGGCAGCATTCTCTCTCTTTTCTCAGGCCAGAAAACCACAAAGTCATCCTTTCCACCACTTTTCCCCAGACCCTCCGCAAATCCATCACTGTACACTATTTCAAAATACATCCAGCCACGCATTGGCCAAATGTGGGAGCTCTGAGACAGAAATTGAAAAATAACACTTGGTAACCACCTAGTAATCAATGCTTCAGGCAAAGATCGCTGGGTTATGAAACTAGCAAGAAAGAGTTTGAGGATGAGATTTACAAACACTCAAATTATCAACTCAAAAGATACTGAAAAAAGAGAATATAGACTGGCAGAAACCACTAACCAAGAAATCACGGTTATTGCCACTATTAGAAGACAAACATATAGAGGGAGAGAAGTGTCCAACATCACTTCCTTTGTCTTCCTACCAAAAACACATGAATCTAAACGCTAGAAAACATCAAAGTAACTCAATAAATAAGTTGCACCCCTCAAAAAAGGTCAATGTCTTAAAGACAAATACAGACTGAGGAATTGTTCCAGAGTACAGGGGACTAAGGAGCCCCATCCGGTGAAAGCAACATGGGCTCCTGACCTGGACCTGGGACAAGGGAAAAACTTTCTGTGGCTTCTAAAGAACATCGACAATGGAACAACTATAGATAATTGATAACTGATAATACCTATAGATTAAGTAGTATTACTGTGTCAGTATGAATTTTGTGATTAGATCATTTTACTATGACTATGAAAGAAAATAAACGGACATATTTAAAACTATTAGGTCTTTATCTGTACAACTTACTCTCAAATGGTTCAGATTAAAAAAGCATTGTCTGTGTATTCATGTGTCTGTATATAGAAAGAAAGAGAATGAAACGTAAACGGCACATTAACTAATAAGATCAGGGTGAAAATTATGAAAATTTTATTTATTTTTGCATCTCTTCTGAGGAGCTCTTTCAAGATACACCGTGCACATGAGCACACACAGATTTCACGACACCTTCAGTGCCACATTCTCCATACATCACTGTCATCTGTCACCTGGATTAAGTCAGTGGCCTCCTAATCAGTCTTGCCATTTCTGCTCTTGCCTCTGTCTTTTCTCCCAAAACAGCCAGAGTGTGTCAGATCATAGGACTGTTTGCTCAAAACCTTCTGGTGCGTTTCCCCTTCCTTCGGAATAAAAGCCAAGGCCCACATTAGGATCTACAAGGCTACACTCTGAGCTGCCTGCCCTACCTCTCCTTTGATCTCTTATCTTCCACCACCCACTGTTCTTGCTGCCTTCCTGCAGGTCCACAGCAGCCTCAGAGCAGAGTTTGGTACCAGCTGCCTCCTCTGTGTGGCAGGTACCTCCCCCAACACGCCCGCAGATCCTGCCCCAAAGCTTTCCCCGGTGACGCCACCTCAGCTTCCTCTCATTATTTTTTCTCCCTTATTTTTCTTCTTAGTGCTCATACTTTATAAGTTTATCTTGCCCATCTCATCTCTTTCACTAATATATAAATATAGAAGTATTTCAGTTTTTGTTCACTGCTGCATTCACTGCTTAGAACACTAGAATCATGGTAAAGGCTCAAAAGGCACATGTAAAAAGAATGCAGAAAAAATAGGCACGGGCGTCTCATCGTTCTTTGTTCTGTGCTGGTAGAAACAGATCTGCCAAGCCAAAGAAGACTTTGTCAAAGTTTAAATGCACATACTCACCAAGGGAAGCACAACTACCCCCCAGTGCCTCAAATCTGCAAGCATATGTGTGAGCAGGAACATAAGCAGCAGACGTATTTAGGAGAGGGTCCCAAACAATGACATTATAAATGACCCCTTGTCCAGGTAGGGAGGAGAAGGAAACACTCGTCTTATCATTAGCTGTTAGGGTAACCACCTAAAACCAAAAATAATGCAAGATTAGTGTTTAGACTTCTTAAAGCTATTCTATTATAACCCTACCTACCTATAACATTAAATTATGATTTTTGTTTAACGCATACAACAACTGTTATGGTTCATGTCTGATATTCTCCCAAAGCTTCATGAGGTCAGAGGTAGCTGAATCTGGAAAGTGTGATGCTCGGGTTAAAGGCATGTGATTACTAAACCACTACATGCACGTGACTGGTTTGACACCACCCTAATCCAGTAGTTTGGATGGGATAAAAGAAGCAGAAAGACACAGTGAGGGTCCCTCGTTGCCTTTGCAACCTTGCACGCGCCATGTTGTTTCCCTCTGCGATGCCTGTCTGCCACCCTTTCCTTGGAGCCAGCCAACTATGGACTGAAACCTCTTGAATTGTAAGCCAAATAAACCATTTCCCATCTAACTCTGGGTATCAGGTATTTTTGTCTCAGCAAGGACAGAAAAACAACTAACACAGCAACTGATTTCACTTCGTTAAAAGACCATCCCACACAGTTTATGCCTGCTAATAGGGACAAATGCCTGTACAGAATGCGTCCAGAAATCTAATAGAATGTTACCTGTTAGTAGCTTAAGTACAGTGTGACGTAAGTAGTGTGTAAATGCTAGTTGGGAAGACATAAAAAAATTATTTTTCATTTCTTAGATTTTAAACAAGAATAGGAGTCATTTTAAACTTGCTCACTACTCTTTTCAGTACTTAGCATGATGACTATCACAACGTAAATATTCAACAAATGGTGTCTGTTACTAGTAGCTATACGGCTGACTTGTTAACAACTCATAGACCAATTTATCTTTGTCTAACAGGCTCTCAAATAACATGACATTATTGTTTGTCATGCAGTAGTCCTTCTTAAGGTTGTTCTCTAGACTGTTAATACTACTAATAGAAGAAATCATATATGCACTATGGAGACAGGATGCACAGAAGCATTCCTGCTAAAATAGTAAGAAACGTAAAGCTTCCAAAGTAAATAGTTTTGAGCCTCCTAGAAGGGTACTACTGTTTTTTTTTTAATATTGCTTAGCCTTATATATATATATATTTTTTTTTCCTGGACAAAGGATTAGTGCAGTTTGACAATATGCTAACCTTACCACCTACTTCGCCAATTTTTTATCATGAAAAGTTTGAACCACAATGAGAAGAAGTACGAATACAATAAGTAAGCTGCACACATCGTAACTGTCAACAATCTAACGTATTTCCATCTCCCCTGCCCCACTTTTCTTGTTCTGCTGGACTTCTTCTATTTGGCAGGGCTGAGCGTCTTTGGTAGACTGTCCCCCCGGCAGCGGTGACGTCCAACCTGAGCGTGCAACATGGGTCAACCAGCCTGACCCGCATGCTGTCCTCCGTTAGCAATGGCACTGAAATAGCCCATCCTCCAAAGGCTTGATAATCCCTGCCTGCATGTGTTCAGTCAGCAGGTGCTGCAAAAGTAGTAGTAGTCACTATTAGTCAATTCTCCCTGCCCCCTGGAGTGAATTCCCTTTGCACTAAGCTACACCCCAGCTCCTTTTTATTCTGAGACAGGATCTCACTAAATTGCTAAATTGCCCAGGCTGGGCTTGAACGATCCAATCCTCCTACCCTAGCATCCCAAACTACTGAGATTATAGGTGTGTGCCACCAAGCCCAGCTGGTGACTTTCTCTGATTCCTTCTACATGTAGTATCTGCCGCTCTTCTGTGAAGAGTTTTCTCTCATCAGTTGGAGATGAACTTGCTCAATTCGTCTCTCTTTTTAACAATCCAGGATGAGGGCTGGAGGTCTAGCTCTGCGGTGCAGCATTTGCTTAGCATGCACAAGTCTCTGGGTTTGATCCCCAGCATTGCAAAAGAAAAAAAAAAAAAACGCAGGGTAAAGTCCTTTCCTTTATCAATTTTCAGTTATTTTGTAATACTACCTCTTCCAATGATAGAAATTTCTTTTTTAATCTCAGTATAGACTCAGTTTTATTTATTCAAGGCTTATATTCAATCCCAATTATCGCTGTTTTTATTATTGGCACTTGAACTTTTCCAAAGTGGGCCAGTATAAAGCCCTTCAGACACCTCCAAAATCTCTTTCACATACCCTCATTGGTCTTTGACAATTTTTTTGCAGGCAATATTCGTTTAATTAAAAGTGAAAAAGCCTACTGTTCAAGTTCTTATATTCTTCATAAAACTAAAAATGGTCTAAAAAATTTGCATAGAGCAAGACAACTAATAAACCTCACCAACAACACTGTTATGTAGCAAATGCTAAGCAAATGCTCAACTGGAGAGCCACGTGCACACCCAGCCCCACCAACAGTGCTTAATTTGTAAATAAGGGCAGTGAGTTTTCTTGTACCAAGTTTCCTCACAATGGAGCGATGACATCCTGGGTGACAGCAACAAAATGAGATCTTGCTCTGAAACAGATTATGCCTCCAGGCCAATCATACACCCATTCCAGTCACTTCTTTCTGCATAACAGAGATCTACTAATTTTTTTAGGAAGAAGCAAAGCAGTCTAGAAAAACTCCACCCATCAACCAATTAGACTGAAGGATGATCTTGCATATTATAATGCTATCAGGCATGTGTCAAGACAGGAAGGTATAACCCCGACCTCCACAATGATTTATGACAGTGAGTCTCAAATTCTAATATGCACAGGAATCGTCTGGAAGATTATACAAGGCAAATAAGACACAAGTTCTGCTCCAGCAGTTCTAGGGCGGACGGAGCCTAAGAATCTGCAGTTCCAAAAAAGTCCCAGTGTTTGTGGATGACAACTGGAGCAGCAAAGGTTTACAGGGACTCAAAAGCTCAGAGAAAATTTTTGCTCTGAGTTGGAGATTTAGGTTCCCATACTAATGCTAATGTGTATATCCATAGCAGTTTCTTGTTATTTTTTTAAACACTGTAACTATCATACTTTCTAAAAGTTTTTAATCCAATAATTACTAGAGTACATAGAAAATTACCACCACTTCCATCCAGTTTCAAGAATACCATAAGCTGGGTATGGTGATACATGCCTGTAATCCCAGCACTCAGGAGGCTGAGGCAGGAGGATCTCTGAGTTCGAGATATTACTAGAGTACATAGAAAATTACCACCACTTCCATCCAGTTTCAAGAATACCATAAGCTGGGTATGGTGATACATGCCTGTAATCCCAGCACTCAGGAGGCTGAGGCAGGAGGATCTCTGTGAGTTCGAGACCAGCCTGGGCTACATAGTGAGTTCCACGTCAGTCTCACCTACATAGTGAGACCCTGGCTCAAAAAAAAAAAGAATACCAGGTCATACATGCAGCTGCAGTAAAAACATAACTTACATGCATCTCCCTGAAGGCCAGCATCATTTTGGGATATCACTAGCAATGACTCTTAACATAAACAGTAAAAAAAAAAAAAAGAATAAAGCAATTGTTCCCCAAATATCAAGAAAATAGTAAGGAAATAAGCTCCTGGTGGCTTCTCCCCTCCTCAGCCCCTATAAAAGCAATCACAATCTAGCCACACACACCATGGAAACTGTATTCACCTTCACAGCATTGGCCTTCACCCGGGACACTTGGGCCATTCTCTGCAGATGCTGCAGCAGCACATCTTCTGCGAGGTCATTCTCGGGCAGAAAATACTGATACACATCATACTGCAACCTCCACCTGCTCTCCTGGCCCATCCCGACATCACACGGTGGAGGAGGTGCATCTCTAAAGTCAACCAAGAAAACAACATCAGTCTTGTGTGGTGCAAGTCCCACCTATTAAAAGAAACCAAAAGCTCTAATTTAAATTTTCTTCTTCTCCTTCTTCTTTTTCTTCCTCTTCTTCCTCTTTCTCTACTCCTCCTCCTCCTTCTTTTTCATTGCTGGGGATAGAACTGAGGCCTTGAGCATGCTAGGCAAGTGCTCTACCACTGTGCTACAGCCCCAGCACCAATTTTGAACTTCTGCAGCAACAACTCTGATTTAATAGTTCACCTTTCAAAGGGGCATAAATGGTATTCTAGAGAAAAGTATCACATTGTTATGGACTAAATGATGTGCTCCTCTAAAACTCCTACTTTGAGTCACTGCCCACTGGAATGGCATTAGGAGGCAGGGCCTTTGAAAAGTAACTAGGTAATGAGTGTGAGACTCTCATGAATGAAATTAATGCCCTTACATCAGAGACACCCAAGAGCTCCCTAGTCCTCCTTTTGTCTTATAAGGATACAAGGAGAAGTGTGCAACACAGAAAAGGGGCCTCACCAGAACCCAACTGCTAGCATCCGCATTCTGGGCTTCAGCCTCCAGAATTATGAGAAATACACTTCTATTATTCATACCCTTCCCCCATGGTATGAGCTGACCATTCTTAACTCAAAAATCTGAAACCTGCAATGCCCTTATGACACGTGAAAAGCTTTAGAGTCTGGGTTTTCAGATTAGGGATGCTCAACTGGTAAAGTCTATGAAAATATTACAAAATCCAAAAGCCTAAAGTCTGAAACATTAACCATTCCACATAAGGGATACTTAACCTATATTTGTTGAGAGCCATTTCTATATCATTTTGGGGGAAAATCATTTCATAATTAAATGATGATCAGGACTGTCTAAGCCCCAATGTTTTCTTGCCCGAGAGTTGGCAATGGCACGCAGAAACAACTCCGTTTTGCTTCTGGTCACAAGTTGAGGCCTCAATGGTCCCGTGATGCTGTGACACTCAAGGTCAAGATTATGTTAGCTGAAGACAGCTTGGTTCTTTGGGAACCAAGTAGTAATAAAAAAGAGAAACGTTTTGCCTGGGGGAAGGGTAGATTCCTTATTAGCCTGCTATCTTGTCTCACCTACTATTGTAAGAATGCTTTGCCCATCTCACCATCCTCATCAACCTGAGACCCTCACCAGCAAAGAATTACCGTGGCCCTCCTGATACTCCTTCTGATTACTGTGTGCACCTACTAAACGGTGGCTGGCTCAGAGCGTCTTTGTCTTGGCCCATTCTGAGGCCCTGACCTTCCAGCTCCCCATGCATTATAAAATACCTTTTTCTCTATTGTCTTTCTTTCATTAGCCCTCATGACTCCCCTTTCTAGGCAGATCGGAGGATTGATCAGCCTCCAATATAACTGTCTTATAGCAACACAAACTAAGACACACAGAGAGGCAGGTGTGGTTAAATAACCAGATTCTACTGCCACTTGGTAGCTGTGTGCATATGGGCAAGTCACTTTGATAATCTTTAGAAAAGCTCTCTGTAACATAAGAGCAATTGCCCTTTCTCCATAAAATAGTAAGGATTAAATGACATAAAACACACAGAACTCAGGACTGTGAGTGATACCAGGGAGCATTCAAATATCATTCAATGTTATCACTGCTATTAAAGTAGAAACTGAAGCAGAGTTTTAATTAAAGAATAATCCTTATGAAACACAAGGATGTTTCAGGGCTAACAGATGCTCTCTACATCTAAAATGGCCAGGGACAACAGGGCACGCCTGTAATCACAGCACTCAGAAGGCAGAAGCAGGAGGATCACCGTGAGTTCAAAGCCAGCCTGCAGTGAGTTCAGTGGCGCCTACACTACGAAGAGAGATCCCGCCTCAAAAAATAAAAACAAGACAAAAGCTAAAACGTACTTCCAAACTCTCAACAAACTCATATCTGGCTCTTCAAATAAAGAGGTCATAAAAACGCACAGGATAGGGGGAATATTAGCTATAAGAGACAGTTAAATATTAGTAATGAGGTTTAAATTATTCTAATCCTCCCCCAACTTTTAAAAACAATTCAATTTTACTACAGAGAGCTACGGATTTGCTGAATCTACACAACAGTCATGAATATTCTAGAAGCAATTTTAGAAGATGGGAGACAGTCATACCTCGCATAGCCTAGATTTGCTGGGGCAAATTTGATAGTCGTTTCAAAGAAATTATACTCCAAGTAAATGTTGGGATCAATATCTAAATCAAACTCCAAATTACAGCCTCCAGGGATAGGATCTGGATGGAGAAACAGGGAAGTTACTACATAAAGAATTTTTATATATCCAAATCAAGCTCAGAAAAAAGAGAACTTTAACAAGAACTTCCCATAGAGTAGTTAAATATTAAACCCAGAGCTGCTTTGATACTCTCATGAACTGAGGTTAAAGAGACTAAAGTTAACTGAAAGTAAAGTTAAGGCCCTAGAGGAAGGGACACAAAGTGTTTTCTGTAAAAGGCCAGATAGTGAGTATTTTAGGCTTTTCAAGTCAGCAGGACTCCGACCACCACCCAACCCTGCCCTTTGCTGAAACGCCACTACAGACGATATATAGATGGATGGACATAGCTGTGTTTCAGTGAGATTTTATGCACAAAGACAGGTAGCAAGGTAGAGTTGGCTGGTGATCTACAGTGTGCCAATCCCTACCCTCCCAGGTAAAAACATGAAAAGAGACAGATTCTTAAACTGGTACTCAAAAGTGGGTCTTTGGAGCTACACAAACACCCTGAAATTATATGCCAAATGTTGAATCCGTGCCTCTCCTTGAGGCAAAAGCTTTTACTATATTGGCGGGGTCTGTGATCTCTGAAAAGCTTAAAGTTCTATGAATACGAGGCGGGAGAGAGGGGAACACTGCTGAAGAGAAAAGGAACTCCATGGGTAAGGAGTGAAAAGTGTCCACTTTTCACATGTCTTTCAACAGAGAGACCGATGGTATTATCCTCACCACTGGAACAGCGCAGATATGCATAAAGGTGTAAAAATAGAAGACCCAAGACCACTTTTGGGAATAGCATTTGGCTATTTAATTAAACACAAGATAATTTTTGGTCATTCAGTTTACATGAATAATATGTTTTTATTTTATTTTTATTTTTTGGTACCAGGAATCGAACTCAGGAGCTTGTGCTTACAAGGCAGGCAGCGGCACCACTGAGCTAAATCCCTGGCCCTACATGAATAATATGGCTAAAAGAGCTCTTGTTTTCTTATTAGGAATCCTATTCATGACCTGTAAGTATGGCCAAACTTAAAGAAATCACTTGACGTTCGACTCCTTATGGGGTACCATGTAGAGTGTACTCAAGAGGAGAAGCTGACAAAAGACAGCAAGTAAAGCAATTTAAAGATTCAGAAGACCATAACTTGGGACACTCATCCATCCAGTCACTCCCACACACTGGGTTCCCGCCAGTTCCCGCCATCTTGGGATTCTGGGGGTGGGTTTCTCTAGTTGAGACAGAACATGCCATGGGGATACATGTTTCACTATCACGTGCTCTCTTCCTCAAATATTGAGGTCCTTATATTCTCCTTTTTCTGCACTTACAAATGTCTACCACTCTGTATTCCAGCTGAAGCTCCACAGTTTGTATTTTTTCTTCATGCATTGATCTTGATGGAAGCCTGAAGTCTATGGCTGTTTATTGGGTAATTAACCTTCAGTTACAGATTACGTGTTTTTCCTACTTAATGCTCAGATTGTACCTTCTTTACTACCTATTGCTCCTTTTTCTTCCTTTTATCCCCCAAACTTTAATAGTAGTGTAAGTTTCCACACCTCGTCTTCACTCCTCAATCATTGCAATTGTTTTTATCACTACTATGTCACTAGAATGATTCCCATTATAGGCAGTCACTTCCTCCTCCCCACTCTACCACAGGGACATATGGACACTTAGGTCGCCTCCCTCTGCAGTCTACTATTCCCCGCTCCTGATGAAGACAGGACCTTGGGGCTCTCCTGTCTCTAGGACCGCTCAGTCTTGCAATGATTCCTCTGCAACAAGTGTCCACCAGAAACTTGCCTGACACACAGCTGGCACTGGGAAAGTTATGTGCTATTACTGCCCCCCACACACACTCTAAGCACCTGTCTGAACAGTCTCACTCACAACCATGTCTTTCTCTAAAAGCTATTTACCTGAACATCTAACATCATTCCTCCTCTCCAGGCCTGTGTTGGCCACTATGCATTTCCATGCAGACGCCCCAAGCCTCTTAGATTCATCACGTCCAGACTGGACTCACCATCTTCAACATCCCACCCTGTAAAACATCCAGCACCACAACCCTGTTCCCACGCCTATTTTGCATCACTATCTCCAGGCTTCCAATTCGGAAGCCTGCACCCCTTTGCTATGACCCACAGTCACGGGTCAGTCCATCTTCTAAATATTTGCAGCCCAGGCCCTCTCCTCCACACCACAGCTTGCACCTCTGTTCAGATCGTTTCTTGGGAGCCTTCAAAGCTGTGCTCAGCTCCTGGCTGTGCTGCGCCTTCTCCAATCCCACCCCCTCACTGCTTCTGGAGTTATCTTTCCAAGAGATGAAATGAACCACAGCGCTCAGCTGCCTAAAAACCCCAGGATTCCTTAGAACAGGCCTCAGGCTAGAGTGCAAACCGCAAACTGTGCACAGGGCCTTTCACACCCCGGCTCCAGCCACACCCACTATTCACCATTTCTAAACCCTCCCTTCCTCTTCATCTGCTTAGGCTTAATGCGTCCTCTGCCTAGGGTAACTACTAAAAAGTTAAGGACCTGTGTTACTGCTTTTCCAAGGGCTCCTCAAATGTATCTGAGTGAATAAATGTTTTTAGTCGCTGAGCTTTCAATTATGATGCCTATCCTCGGGCTCCCTTGGTATAGAAACATTTCTGATTAAATAAACTGCACTTGTCAACCATCTGAACAGGATGACTTCCCTTCAGTCCTCACAAACATATCCCGTGGTCCACAGAGTAACAGTCACAGACAGGATGGTTACCTCTTTCGGAGTAGGAAAGCGGAATGGCCAGACTTTGGACAGGGTTTCCACCTACAGACTCCAGATACCAAGTGCACATACTCTGCTCCCGTCTCAGAATGAAAACCAGTCCTTTGTCGATGCCTGTTCCTGAAGAACTAGGAAGGACAGTCTGCAAATAAGAAGAAGAGTCATCGTGGATAGGGAACGGAGCAAAACATATCCATGAAAGACGTAGCCCAGTATGCACGTCCCAGTCTCAAAACAAAAGTGGGGAGGGGAACAGAACTCCCTTCAATAAAGAACACTTTTTATCCCTATGTTCACGTGCCCAAGCTCCACCCTGGAGAACTCTTTAAAATGTGTAATTGTCTTAGTCAGTTTGGATTGCTATAACAAAGTACCACAAATTAGGGGGTTTACAAGCAATAAAACAATTTATTTCTTAAAGTTCTGGAGCCTGAAAGTCTGAGATCAGAGGGCCAGCCTGGTCAAGTTCAGGTGAGGGTTGTTTTCCGGGTGGCACACTGCCTTCTTCTAGCTGTGTCTTCACGTGGCGGAAGGGGGAAGCAGCACTCTGGGGTCACTTTTATACGATCGCTAACTTTAGAAAGGCAGAGCTCTCTGACCTAACACCTCCCTCAGGCCCACTTCCTGACACCAAGACAAGTAGGGGAACCTTCAGTGCACAGCAAAGATGTTTGGTCAGGAATTACATAGGTGAATTTCTCAAGCTTTTCAACTCACCCTCATTAAGATTTAGTACGTCATATACTGAGGCTACCAAGGCGAAGACAGGAACCTAGGCTCCAAGGGGTTCACAGTTGGTAGCAAGCTTTAATGAGTTATTATACTATAACATATATTACTTGATAAATCTTGATACATCTATGAAACCATCACAATTCAAGATAGTGAATATACAGCTCTATCCCAAAAAATTTCCCTGTGGCCCTTCCTAATCCTTCCTCACACCCCTCCCTTCTAGATCCTGCACCCAGCTATCTAGAAAGCTTTTTGAATAATAAAATGCTAAGCTAAGAGGGAACCGATTCAGTGTCCTCCTTGTAAAGCTAAGAAAATGGGAAGAGGAAGGGACTATCAATTTCAATTTGACAAGCAATAAGCGAGAACTGATTAACTATAGGGTTAGTGGCCTCAAAGAACCAACTACCACGATGACACAACAGCACCACTCTGCATCAGGAAGGGCACAGCAAACGGAAATGACTGTCTTCACAAAGACAGGTCACTTTCAGAGGCACGTGCAGTCTGGTCTTCATCTTCTAAGCCGTGCAAAACGTGGAAACTAAAGATGGCCCAAGAAATGAAATCTAAGATAATTCAGGCAAGCTAAAGATCTTTGCTGCATGGAGATGACCAAGGCCCAAGATGCTACTCATCCAGGCCTCTTCTGTCACTTTAGTGATGCTGACATCTCTCTATAGCCATGCTTGGCGTTCTGATGTAGAAACAGGCATTGCAACTACTTCACTGTGCCATAGTGAGAATGAACTGCAAGGAAAGTCACACACAAGGATTCCAAACAGGGGCCCTGGGCCCCACTGAGTTTCTGGAGGCTCCCATGAGATTATACCTACACAGGCCCCCAGGAAATGACATCTTTTTCCTGGGAGAGTCCCTAGATTTGGGCAATCTCTGGCCTCAGGCGCTTTAGGGCCAGTAGCTTAGCACACAGCAAGCATTCCGCTATGTAAATGCCTTTGTCCACATCCTCTCTCTTGTCTTCACTGCTGTCAGTGAAGTCCTCTGATTTGTAACAATATGGATGAAAATGGAGATCAATATGTTAAGTGAAATAAGTCAGGCACAGGAAGTAAGTGCCACATGATTTCACTCCTAAGTGGAATCTAAAAAAGAAAAAAATGGATACAAAAGCTGAGAGCTGGGCCTAGGATTTAGCTCAGTGGTGCTACTTTCTGCCTTACAAGAGCAAGGGCCTGAGTTCGATCCCTGGTACCTAAAACAAACAACAACAACAACAAAAGCTGAGACCTGCTGGGTGAGTACCAGAGGTCAGGGAGCATAGAAGGAAGGGAAGGATGGGGAGAGGTTGATCAACAAGTGCTGGGTTAGAGTCATGTGGGGCAAGAAGTTCTGGCGCCACTGCACAGTAGGGTGACCATGGGTAACATCACGTACTGTCTTCAAAAGCTAGGAGTTTGAATGTTTTTACCATAAAGAAGAGATAAATCTTCGAGGAGACAGATTCAGCCAGGTTTTTCTGGTTTTTGTTTTATTTTGTTTGCTTTGTTTTGTTTTGTTTTTTGAGACAGGGTCTCTCTATGTATTTGAGACTGACCTAGAACTCACTATATAGCCCAGGCTGGTCTTGAACTCACAGTGATCCTCCTGCCTCAGCCTCCCAAGTGCTGGGATTAGAGGCATGCGTCGCCATGCCCGCCCGGCCAGCCAGGTTTTAACATTACACAATTTATACATCTATCAAAACACAGGTACTCCATAAATATGTGTAATTCTGGTTTTGTTTTGTTTTTGTTTTTGTTGGTACCAGGGATCAAACTCGGATCCTTGCGTTTGCGAGGCAGGCCACTGAACCGCTGAGCCAAATCCCCGGCTGTAATTCTGTTTTTATGTAACAGCTAAAATAAATTTTAACTTACAATTAAAAATAAATATTGCCTTTGCTATGATGGCATAAGAAGGAATCATATTATTTGCCAATCAAAAAAGTTTAACTATGTAGGAAGACCATCTCAAAAATATTTTTTTTAAATACAACTTGCAAAAATAAAGGAGCGGGGATGAGCTCAGTGACAGATGACTGTAATTCCATCTACTTGGCAGCTGAGACAGGAGGATCACAAGCAAGCTCAAAGCCAGCCAGAACAACTGAGTGTGATCCTATCTCAAAATAAAACATAAAAAGAAGTGGAGAAACAACTGAATGGTAGAACACCCTGGGTTGGATCCCTAACATCAAAACAAAATGAAAAGCAGATATCATCTCTGTGTCATTTTACTGTGTCTGTTCTGAAATATCCTAAAGAAGAGGCTTACTTTTGAATTTTTGTACCAGAGAAAAATTTAGCCTCTCCTGATGAATGAACATAGTTCTTCCTTTCCAAGAAAGTCCTGAAATTTGATATGCTGTTGTGGCTACAAAAAAGTCTGGCAAAATCAAGGTTTAGGTTATAGATGCTGTTACCTCTTGCAGCTGTTACAATTTATTCCTCTTGTTTTTCTTGATCAAACCCTTCCACTCCTAGTTTATTAACAACCTCACATGTGCACATACACATTGTTTTTCCTTTACAAAAAAATCTTTTTAAAATTTATTTTGGTTATATACACAATTAAAAAACCTTCATGGTAAGGGGAGGAAAGCAGGAATAACAAATACAAAACATTCAGTAGGAAGGAGACTATGACCAGTTCCTATAGAATGATATATGAGTTATCTACCAAATTCCAGAATATTGTAAGATAGGCTTAGATCAAACAAAAAAAAGTATAACTTGATCTAGAGTGAAGTTCACTCATCAGTCTAAAGGATTATACAGGCTAAATATAAATAGATGTGTAAAAGTTTATTATAAATGGCAGATCCTTAACAGCTTGCTAATCCAAAGCATTTAAAAGAACCTTCCAAATCTGAGGTTACCCTTAAAGAGTTAGTGATGACAACTAGTGCTGGATAGACCAGGATGAACTGAGTATTAGAGCTGCTTTGTCTGCATGTGAGACTGCAAAGAATAAGGCTGAGCCCAAGGGTTCTTAAGAAGCTGCAAAACTAAATAGTTAAGACAACAATAGGAACACATTACACTGTGTTCTCAGGTTAGTCATGAAGGATGCACTGGAGCGAGATGATGAAAAAGTGAGAAATCACGAGGGAAACAAGTGCAGGGAGTCGCACAGGGCTCAAGCCCTCTCCCATGGCTTGGCTGCCACACTCAAGAAAGGCCTGAGGCCTGCACCTTTCCCAGTCTCATATGCTAACTCGACAAGATTCAATACTGATTTTTTTAAAAAATTGAAGACACAAAGATATAAAGAGGCATCAAATTCTAATGTTTACAGTAAATACAAGACCCAAACGTATCAATTGATTTTTTTTTTTTTTTTTTTTTTTTTTTTTTTTTTTTTTTTTTTGCTGAGATAATTCTTTGTACTTACCCTTGAATAAGAAACTGTGGTATTCTGATACTGGGTATGTATCTGGAATGTGAGAAAAGTCACATTGCTTGAAATATGACGCAGAATGGCTTCCTCTGGGAACGGCCTGTTGAGCTGGAAGTATCTAAATTTCCCAACTGAAAATTCAAGAAAACCTACAACGGGAGAAAGTTTTCATTATAAGACTGTATCTCTGATATCAATTTGTGAAATTCTTATTTATGAGCAGAATGCTAATTGAAACCTCAGAAAAATTCCTTGAGGTAAATGTCATTATTGCCTCTATGCCACGGATGAGGACAAAAGCAGAGCAGGGGCTGGGGATGTCACTCAGCAGCAGAGTGAGTCAGAGGCCCTGGGTTCAAGCATCAGCATGGCGGGGGTGGGGTAACCAGGGTCATTCAGCTAGGAGATGGTGGAGCTGAGGGCTAAAATCGGGTGGGGAGATGTGTTTCAAAAGATATGAACAGCACTAAATGCGGAGGACGGTCCTCAGAACCCAGAAAAATTTCCCATTTGGTAGGAGAATAACAATTCTCTTCAGAACAGAGTGCCTGGATCTTAGGATAAATAACCCTCCCGAGGATGCTATAATGAATGGGCTGGAAATAAAGAATGATATCACCTAGTGAATGCTGAAGTCATCAAAGAGACACAGGTGACTTCAATTGAGAGCCAGCCAGCGTGACAGTTTTAGGCAAAGTACCAAACTGCCTGAAGCCTGGTTTTCTTACCTGTCAAATGGGGATTGTATTACCTAACTTGCAAAAGCAGGTACCATCCACACTGGCAACCATGTGTGGTAAGTGCCTACACTGCACACTTCACATAAAATTGTGAGCCACAGGCATTTTGGAAAAGGGAGCTTTTTAAAGTCAGGCATAGTGGCGTATACTAATAATCCCAACACTCTGGGAAGCTGAGGCAGAAGGGTAACAAGTTCCAGCCCAACTTGGCAATGTAGCAAAACCTTGTCACAAAATTTTACAGGAGGACGGGGATGGAGCTCAGCACAAAGGCCCTGGGTTCAATCTCCTGTGTTACTTTCACTCAGTCTGTCCATGGTTCTGTGGGCAGTGTCATTCTCCTAGATGCATAACAATTCTTTCTTTTTCCCATCTAATTCTCAAATACTCCACTAAAGTAGGCTGGTTTTACCTCTGTGTGGTCCTGGATTCCCACCTCGCCCCCAACTCTCTAGTCAGGATATCACTGCAGAAATAGCAGAAGAGCATTACATAGAAAACAGAAAAAACACAGAAAAAAGCCATTTACATTTAATATAGATGGAAAAGGGGTTGATGAGAAAAAGATCATAATTCACCGGAGTTCCACAATGGAACGATCACGTGGGTAGTTAAAAAAACAAAACAAACCAAAATGAAAATAACACTCCCGACACTAAATAACACATTCTTATCTCCCATTTTCCAAGGCCACTTTTCTTTTGTTTTATTTTTTTTCCTTCAGTCATGGTATTTTATTGTTTTGAATTTTTTTTCTTTTTAATCAAATGTAATAAGGGGTATCAATAGTAATTTTTAGTAGAATTAATTTCAGCTTTATTTATTTTCTGTATGCATATTTTTCCTTAAGAATTCCCTTTAGATTATTTCTTTTTTATCGTTAAGTTCATTCATATAATTTAGATACACATAATGACCACGTTCATCATATGAAATTTGTACCAGTACATAATATACTTTGATTCATATTTTTTCCATTCCTCTTTCCCTCCCTTCTACTCCTCTTCCCCTTCTTATTTACAAGAACCTTGTTTTCATTTTATCTTTATTTTCTCTTTTTTCTTTTTTTTCCTTTTCCCTTCCACAAGGGAGGGACAGAAGCAAAGACCACTTTTCAAGAGTTTTTTTCTAAATTCAAATATTCCATCTGAACAATTAAAAACAAAACAAAAAAACTATCAAAACAGGTCAATCTTTGAAAAAAACTACATATAAGTGGTGCTGACTAGAAAAATTAGTCTCTATATATTCCCCCAAACTCCACAATGCTATATTACCTTCACAAATAAGTCTTTTTCAAAATCGATGGTAGAAAAAAAATTATCTGTGATCACAATTTAATTTCCAAAAGTCAACAGAAAAATCTGAAATAGTGTACAAATGACAGCTGGAGTAGCCTCCTATTTCTATAACCAGAAGACATTTCACATTTATTTTATTTATTTATTTATTTATTTATTTTGGGTTTTTGAGACAGGGTCTCACTATGTAGTTGAGACTGACCTGGAACTCACTATGCAGCCCAGGCTGGTCTCGAACTCACAGCTAACCTCCTGCCTCAGCTTTCCGAGTGCTGGGATTACAGGCGTGTGCCACCACACTTATTTTTTTTTTTTTTTTTTTTTGGTACTGGGGATCGAACTGGGGTCCTTGCGCTTGCGAGGCCAGTGGCAGAATCACTGAGCTAAATCCCTGGCCCCATTTCACATTTTATATGGACAAACTCCAACAGGAATAGAGATAAAACACTGGGAAGTGGCTAAGAGATCCAGGCAGGGAGGGCTGGAAAATATGGGGGAGCTTTGTGGGTTCATTTTAAGGCAAACAAAAAAAATTTTTTTGCATTTTCCAGGCCTTTCGATCATCATGATTTTTTTTTTTCAGTACCAGGGATCGAACTCAGGACCTTGAAAGACAGGTAGTGACTCCACTGAGCTAAATCCCTGGCCCCATCATGATTATTTTCTTAGAAAACCAAACTATACACAAAACTAAATGAGAGTCAGTAAATAGTTCTAAAAATGTTTCTAATATTGCACTTTAATTTTGGTCTCATCTATTTTTGTCTTCCAAGTCTTAAAAATACTCCTTCCAGTCTGTCAGATCTAGCAGCATTAGTCTATTCTCCTAGGAATTAATTAGACTTTGATCCTTTTACAGATCAAAGCCTTTGGCTCATTTAGTTTCCTGCTTTTTTCTTATTTCAGTTGTTTTCCCTCAGTTTTTCCCCATGAGGCAAATATGTATGAAGTATTTATAAAATAATCACTGGCTGTTGGGCACTGTGACCTGCTGCAAGCAAACTCAAAAAGGGTATCTAAGACGCCTGTCACTGTCACTTAGATTTGCCCTTCAATGTAACTTTAGAAAATGTTTTGATAATCCTTATGTCTGTCTCCTAAGACGTGGACCTTGAACCTGAACAGAACTTTTTAAAGCCCTGGGAGAGATTGATCCCATCTCGAGAGAAGTTGCCTGAGCCTTTCTCTCACCTGTCACCCACGGATGAGGACGAATCAGCATTTGGAAAACTTTCGGGCAACAAAGAAATGCAGAACCATGGAAATTAAAATAGATTATTAAACAACTAGGGGCTGGGTGACTTATTAAAATGGCTGGTATTAAAAGCAGGCATCTCTGCAAGTATCTGTTGTGGTTTTTCTTTTCTCTACCCGTTTCCTTCTTTTTCAAATTTCTCTAGCGACCATGGTGTGGTATAAGAAAGAAATGTCATGATTTGAAAAAAGCCTCCATTCTTGATGGTACATGAAATACACGAGCTCTAGCTTGAATCTACATCTTGAGTTCCTGAAAAATAGGGCCAGGTGCAATCCCTGGGGGTGGGGGGAGAGAGAGACAGAGAAGGAGGGGGCAGGGAGACAGATAATAAGCAAAACAGGGACATGGAGACGCTCAGCCCTTGCCGCTTGTTTTCTCTCTAAAATAGTAACATTGTTCTAAACAGTCCATAATCCTCATAACAAAAAGTTGCAACATGAGAGAAAGTTCATTCCACCAGTTACTAAGTAGGGAAATCGTCACTGTGGTCAGCTTGGTACACAATTAGCCCCAGTCTCCACAGAAGAGTCCAGGACCCAGAAAAATACCAAAATCAAGTCCCTGATATCAAATGGGGCAGTATTTGCATGCAACCTATACATTCTCCCATGCTCGCACACACACACACACACACACACACACACACACATACATATTTTTTTTTTTTTTTTTTTTTCACTGGTATATTTTTTTTTTTTTTTTTTTTGAGACAGGGTCTGGCTATGTAGTTCAGGCTGTCCTTCAACTGACTATATAGCCAAGGCTGGCCTCAAACTTTGTGGCAATTCTCTTGCCTCAGCCTCTGGAGTGTTGGGATTACAGCTTTGTGCCACCATGCCCGCCCGACTCCCATACACTTCAAAAGACACTGTGGATCTCTTTCATGCCTAATACAATAGAAATGTTATGCAAATAGTTGCTATACTGTATTGTTTAGAAATAAAGATGAGAAAAAAAGAAATCTGTACCTATTCAGTACAGACACAGTTTTTTTTCAAGTTATTTTCAATTTGGTTGAATCTGCCAACATAGAACCCATAGGACAAGGAAGGCCAACTCTGCCTTTGGAGATCTGGACAGATATCAACATGCATATTTTCACATATAAGGGAAAAATTTGGATCCTGCCCGCATCCACACCGCCTGGTCCCGGAAGGCTTCTCCCTGGGATCGGTGCACACTTAATGTTCACCATTACTGGCCATTCGAGAGATGCAAATGAGAATAACGCCGAAATTCCACCTCACCCCAGAAAGAATGGCTGCTATCAAGAAATCGACCAATAACACATTCTGGTGGGGCCTGTGGGGAAAGAGGAACCCTGCTCCACTGTTAGTGGGAGGGCAGACTGGTGCAGCCACTGTGTAATTCAGTATGGAGATACCTCAAAGAACTAGGATTAGCGGTCCCATTTGACCCAGGCATTCCCCTAATTCAGGGAATCTTCCGTAAAGAATTAAAAGAATCATACCACAGCAATATATGTGTGCCAATGTTCACAGCGGCACAGTTTATAATTGCTAAAACTTGGAAACAGCCCAATTGCCCATCAACTGGAGACTAGATAAAGAAAATGTGGTTTTCTTATAAAATGGAATACTAGTCAGGCATAAAGAATGAAAAATTAGAGACATTTATAGCTAAGTGGATACACATAAGGCAATAATACTCTTAAGTGAAATAAATAGGACACACGTGTAAATACCGAATAGTTTCTCTCTCATGTGAGAAACTGAAAGTGTAAATAAGGATCAAAATGTATAATAGATAATGTGAAATAGGAAGAAAAGGTGCAAAGGGGAAGGGAAAGTGAAGGGAGTAGGGGAAAGGGAAGAAGGGAATGGAATAAA